AGGGGTGTGAGGAGCGAGCATAATACTCCCAACGACTGAAGTCATAAAGTGTACGATAGTGAACATGGGAGTATGTATGCTCTTAATGACATCTCCCCCCCCCCCCATAGTAATGTACTGATTGATGTTCTCGCTTGCATGTGCAGTATCTCTCTCTCTCTCTCTCCCTTGAGATAAGTAAGGAAACTTAAGACGATTGCAAACCGTTGTGCATCAGAACGTGTAAGTTGAGCTCCTCCCCAAACGTTGTCCTTCCCAAAACTCTGTCAGGACTGCCCAGGGATCGCAGCAGGAATGCAGGGACTGTCCGGGAGCTGCAGACTGCAAAGAGCCGCAGGAACGGGATGCTGCAGCAAGGGGACTGGAGGCTGCAGCAACCACAGGAACGAAAGCCGGCAAGATCTGCGGACATCAAAGAGGGGTGTATAACGAAGCACTGAGGAAGGGGGAATGGGTAGGTTAACCGAAAGATACCAATCGCGTTCAACATATTGTCGTCGGAGCAAGTATTTCATGTTGCACGACGGGCGTCTGTTAGGAGGAATCAGCTTATTCCTAACTGGTTCATTCAGACAGTCCATCGCAAGAACCCTCAGGACAGGCTTCGTCGACGTACTGCATGTCTACCACGGACGCCGACAATGACTCCTAGGAAGGCACGTTGCTTTTGGCACGCAGACACACATGCCTGGCATGGTCTTGTAGCTGGCTCAAACACTACAGTGAAACTTGGCTGCGGGTGTGATCGTCACTTGTTCCAACCATCGCCCACGTTGGATCAAAATAGCCTTCGACCCCAACGCGAAAATCCATGGAGACTCGAGTGTGTGGTGTCGTGTTCGCATTGATGTAGTGCCGGCACGAAGAACCATGGAAAGCAATGATTTCTCCTGGCTTGGCCGCGATGGCATGGTAGTCGCCTGGAACTGTTTTCAGAGATCCATGTTATATATGTATATATACACACACACCTACAGTTGACACATACACATGCCTGCATGCATGCACACATGCAAATCTACATATACCCCCCCTGTATTTATGTTTGTTCTTTTACCTTCTGATGTATGTTTTGGTTATGTATATCTTCACAGAAAGTTTAGGCATGGGTTTGACTCTGCTCCACACCTCAGTTGATGAACCATGAGTTTATGTTGACCCGCTTTCGGAACACAGGCCCGTTACAAAGGAACTCCACCTACAATCCGAAGAATGCTCAAGAGTTTTTACCTGCACGTGGTGTTGAGAAACTCCCACCTTCATCAACAACAGACTCGCAGTGCAAGTCCACCTGTGTCAGCTTGCGATCCGTCAGCGGCACCCAAAAATTCAGCTCACCATTCTGATGCCCATACGTCGCATCATTGTGGGCCTCGACTAGTCAGCAACACACAAGCTGCACTACTCCTGAGTCAAACGATTTAGTACGGTCTTGACTACAATACTCGCACGACAGCCAGACTATCAGGCTCTCCCGTTCTTGCTGATTCTGTGGCTGTGTTCTGTCCAACCGTGTTGATACAGCTGGCTCAACCTTACATGTGGCTTGTGCCTATTACTGTAGCTTGCAGCTGCGTCGTTATGTATGCTCATAGAAGTGGAATCATTGAATGCCGATGCTGCATGCCATCAACATAGCAGCATTGATTGCTTATTCTTTGTGTAAATGTCCATGTTGACACTCGACTAGAACGTCTCCCCCAATAACAAGATTTTCCGGCCATAGTAGTGTCCTGCGGATATTTTCCGTCTCAGCGAGACTGGCTAGTTGTTCTCGTGGGTGAATTCCATTATTGTAGTTACGATTTACTGTCATTCACGTTAACATTAACATTATCTGTGCTACTTATGTGTCTACTATTTCACTATTTTCTACTATCTACGAACTACTCCTCTCAGTACTGGTAGGAGAGCGACCGACAAATGCTTTTGGAGGGCAGTCTTTGATATCTGGCGGCAGGACGGACTACTACTACTACTACTACTACTACTCCTCCTACTCCTCCTACTACTACTACTACTACTACTACTACTATTTTTAGTTCTATTTTTACTCCTATTTTTACTTCTACTTCTACTTCTACTTCTCCTTCTACTTCTACTTCTACTTCTACCTCTACTTCTACTTCTACTTCTACATCTACTTCTACTTCTACTACTACTACTACT